CATCTCTACCTTTTACCGGCAGTCTACCATGCCCACAAGTCAGGAACCTTGCTCGGTGATTTTAGAACACGGACAAGGCAAACCTTGCTGGCTCATCCTGGTGACTGTCCAGGCTCCTCCATTTGCTCATGCACAAGACTGTCACCAACATCACAAAATACAGCCTCTGGAGGGACCAAAGGAACCTCTCCAGTGGTGTGAAATGCCACCTTTTGTTTTCACTCAACGGTCAAAATGCTGATGTTTTCTGTGGCCTGCCCAGCCTGAAAGAGATTAGGGAAACGAGGCTGGCAAGCTGATGCTCTATTACGAAACACAGCCTATCCAATGCTTCATTTAATTTACTTGTTGCTTTTTAAATTAACAAGCGGGCCACAAATCTAACCCAATGTGCTTGTTGTTGGCTTGCTGGCTGCAGACCCTTAAACTCAGACAATGCAGCCCACAGATGAAAAAAGAGAGAGGGATGCCGAAGATGGAATAAAAGTCGCAAATGGTGGCCCTGCTTCGGAGAAATGACTTGGAGATAATAAATGTCTTCTATTAAGTAAAAAAAGAAAAAAGCGTAAGAGGAACAGAATGGCTTCTTGCATCTTCTCCAAGCTCTTCAAGAACTGAAGGAACAGTCTCTTCCCAAGAGACTGAACACAAAAATATTGCAGAGGAAAAAAAGAAAAGAGGTAAGGAATGACATCATGTAGGAGGCTCAAAACACAGGCACACATTCAAGGAGAAACCTGGAAGAAAGATTAGCAGAAAGCTGTGGGCAGGTTCAAGGCACAGGCAGGTCTGGAAGAGAGACCTCTCCACAGCAGCCATAAACGTGTCCCAGCAGCAAGGTGCAAGCCATGGTTTTGCATGAGGTCCTGAACAGGCATGGACGGGTCCCTGCGCCGGGCCCAGCCCTTGCACAGTTTCCAGTTGAAGCACCTCTGGCAACACAACCCCTCTGCCAGCGACTACCCAACCACAAAAGGCTTGTGAAGTCCCTGCTCGTCTTCCCTCCTGTGCTGGTTTTGGACGGGATAGAGTTAATTTTCTCTATAGCAGCTAGTATAGGGCTATGTTTTGGATTTGTGCTAAGAACAGTGTTAATAATACAGGGATGTTTTTGTTATTGCTGAGCAGTGCTTACAGTCAAGGCCTTTTCTGCTTCTCACCCCACCCCACCAGTGAGTAGGCTGGGGGTGCACAAGAAGTTGGGAGGGGACACAGCTGGGACAGTTGACTCCAACTGACCAAAGGTCTCTTCTCCCAAGTAACAAGTGATAGGACAAGAGGAAATGGGCTCAAGTTGTGCCAGGGGAGATTTAGATTAGGTATTAGGAAAAATTTCTTCACAGAGGGAGTGGTTAGGCATTGGGACAGACTGCCCAGGGAAGTGGTGCAATCACAGTCCCTGGAAGTATTCAAAAAACATGTGGATGTAGTGCTTAGGGACATGGTTTAGAGGTAGACCAGGCAGTTAGGTTAACAGGTTGGACTCAATGATCTCAGAGGTCCTTTCCAACCTCAACAATTCTATGATTCTATGATATTCCACACCATATGACGTCATGCTCGGCATATAGAGCTGGGGGAAGAAGAAGAAAGAGGGGGACATTCGGAGTTATGGCGTTTGTCTTCCCAAGTGATCATTACACGTGATGGAGCCCTGCTTTCCTGGAGATGGCTGAACACCTGCCTGCCGATGGGACGTAGTGAATTAATTCCTTGTTTTGCTTTGCTTGCGTGCACAGCTTTTGCTTCCAAGGAGAGAGTGAGTGAGCAGCTTTGTGGTGCTTAGTTGTTGACTGGGGTTAAACCACAACACCTCTCCAGAAGAGATGGAAGAACAAAAGAAAACAAGATAGTACCATCCTCACCAAAGCTGCTGCCTATTTTCTCTTCCCTGATGGAAAGCTGCGCATTCACCAGCTGTTAGCAGTAAGCGGGTCCGGCTACGCTGTTCTTGCTTTCCCTCTCAAATAATAAATATTCTTAATAAAGCTCTTTGTTGCCAGCTTACTCTAAGAAAAACAACTGGTAGGCAGCTATGCCTAATCCACCCAAAACAGCAAACAACCTACACAAGTCAGTAACACAATAAATCCAAAGAACAAACAGCTACCCTCTTGGATGAAGAAACTGCACCCCCAGCCAATATGGGCCACCAAAATTACTACACTCCAAAGAAAGATTAGCAGGCCCCTTGTCTCAGGAGCTTATAAACCGGGACTGCTCATGCCCATGTCTCCACCATCATGAACGTGGCATAGGGAGCAGCACGCCATCAGGAAACTCTGGCAGGTGCTGGGACGTGCTTGCGAATCGTGGTGGGATCTTCACCTCCCACCATCACCACTCTACCCTTCTCCCTGAAAGCAAAGAGCCCATCCCACCATAGTCTCTGCAGAAGAATCAATCTTCCAAGCTAACTTCCACAGCGAGAAAGCATGCTGCTCTACAGGTTACTTGCTGCCAGTCCATGGAAACATCTGAAGGAAACAGGCAAGCAAGTGATACGTCCCACCCCACTGGTGAACACAGACCCTTAAAAAAAAAATCACAAGCAGATGGGAGAGACCACCTGGGCTAGCACCCAAGTCACTAGCTGAAAACACCAGTTGTCTGCATCTGGCAGGGCCAGCAGTTTGAGGAAATCAAAGACAGTTTTTAAATTATGCCCATGATTTATGATCTAACGCTTAAGTGCTGTTTGAGAGTCTAGATGAGCAAGAGCAGCCTGTGTAAGGAAAGATGTGACTGGCGTTTTGTCTAAAAGCCTAGTAAAGGTGGATGCATGAAGGCATGAACACACCACGAAGCAGGCTGGAACAACAGAGGACAATTAAACAAAAACTGAGCTCTTATCTTGCAGTCAGGACTTAGGACCTGGTGTTGACTCTGCCAACGCATGTGAGAAAGTGGTGTGGGGGAGGAAAAGCTCTCACTGCTGAGATGCAGAAGACTGCAAATTGCCAGGGCTCCTCCACTTTCATCTCCTCTCCAGCCTCTCAGGGCCGAGCAGGTGGTTCAGAGGCAGACGCTTCCCCGCCTGGGCTGGCAGCTCTCCACCTCACCCTGGAAAAGAGATGTATCCTAGGCCTCCCAGCCTTTTTCAGAAAAGCAAATGAAGAACATACTCTGTGCAACAGAGAGGCCAAGGCGGAGCTCAAGAGGCAGCTTTTAACCTTCCTCTGCATTAAAATCCCTTTTATATTCTATAAACATAAATGGGTGGATGAAAGGCAGCGTGATGTACCTTGAGCATATGAAGAGATGGACAGGTACCCAGGAAAGTTTAAAATAAGACCTACATTATAGGCGATAATAACTATAACTGCTAAAATGTGTGGTAGGCAACCACAAACCCAGGCTCTGAGGAATCTCTTGACTTGCTAGACTCAGTACCAAATTGTATTGATTTTCCCACAAGATATAAGGCACAATGAAGTAGAAACTTGGACCAGATGAGTATAGAGCACCAGTGTAAGCAGATCTCTGTAATTATCAGAGATTCTCAGCTATTAACAAGGACAGAGAATATCAGGCTTTGGGGCAAATGCTGCCCAGTAATGGGGTGGGATTACAAGAGATGCTGTCTCCAGGCTGGTTTCCTAAGGTATCTGATGCCTTCTGCCTGCCTCTCTTGCTGATGAAAGGAGCAGCCACAGGCAATCCGCCAGGGAAAGGTACAGCCTCTCCCGGGTCCTGCCATCACACTACGGCAGGTCACAGCCACCTGGCTCTCTGTTGCAACAGCATAAGAAGGGACAAATTCAGATCTCGCCACCGAGCTGCAAGAGATGGAGCACCCAGTGCTAGAGCTGGGTGGGGGTGGTGGCCATGCATGAACAGAAACACCATCCTCCTCGTTGTATAGACAGGTAAGGGGGTGCAAACAAGCCATGGGACTAGCCCAAAGTCATCAGTGGGTGGTAAAGCTGGAAACTAAATTCAGGCAACCTGACTTCCCATCCAGGGCCTTCACATGAGACAAAAAGCTCCCAGCAGAGGTTTTGGATGGGAAAGCCATTGGTCTCCTGCTGGGTCTTTGTGTTGGGCTGTCAGAGCTGGCAGCTCTCCCCCCCAGCCCAGCTGCCCTGGGCAGAGATGGCTGGGGAGGCAGGGTACATCAAACGGGAAAGCCCGGAGTGCTGTAAGAGGCTCTCCAATTACCCTAATGAAATCACAATTGGGTCACAGGTGCAGGTGGCCAGCAGAGAGGTGGATGCTCTCATGAACAGATAAGCAATGGGAGATGCAGGTAGGGCTAGGAGCAGAGGGGCAGGCTGAGCACCGCTGCCATTTTCCCCACTTGAAGTCCAGCTACAAGAAAGGGGGAAGCCACTGGTATAAGGTGGCCTTGTACATCACTTAAGAAAAGGGCCAGTCCCAACCTGAGCATATCGGGCCAAAAATACCGTATCCTATAATCAAGAAATGCATTGCCCCTATGAGATTTCCTTTCTCCTCTCCCTCCGCATCCTTCCCTGTTCCTCCCAAACAACCGCTGACAGGGAAAAATTAGGAAGCTGGTTTCAGGAAACACATCCAAGCCATTTTCACTGAGAAGAATTTGCAATGGAAATAGGTCTGGCTGTTCAGCTTCCTGCTTGCTTTAAATCCTAACACACATGTATTTTTACAGCAAAGAAATGAATAAGGAAACAGGGTATTTGCAGCTGGGAAGTTTCCAGAACTGTTTGATAATGCTCTTAGTTTTTAAAATTTTTTCTTTTAACATTTAATGGATAAGAAACTTCTTAAAAGGCCAGGTTTTGGAGCAAAATAATATTACAATAGTATTGGTGAGCTCTGGTCTCCAGGAATGAAACAGTGCATGCAGCACATGTCCTCTCGCACTACAGCTGCAGCAGAAAGGTCCAGACAACAAGCCAGTGGCATTGGGATCGGGTGGAAAGAGGTGGAAGCTGTTGGCCAGCAGCAGAAGAGCAGACAAATGAGTATCTTGGGACAACAGAAGTCCTGTCTCCTCCTGCCCATGCAGCACTCGCCCTCTGGATGGCTAACCAGTCCTGCAGAGAAACAAGGTCCTCTCATCTGGGGATGGCTCAAGTCCCCTCTCACATGTGGTATATCACAGGCCACTAATCATATCCTCCAAAATTTTATCTTTTCCAGGGAAAGGTGGTACAGCATCTTTTTTTCCCCACATTTTTCAAGACAGAGGGTAAAGCAGCACAGGTGCAATAGTGTCATCTCCGTGGGCTAGTTGTGGGTGAGGGACAGTCCATCTTGGGATGAGGGAAGATGACTGTTTTCCTTCTTGCCTTTCCATTCCCAATGGGACACTAATAAAAAGCTGCTCATGCAGTTTGTTCAAAGACAGAGCTCAAAGGAACAGCTTGAGTGACCCCAAACAGCCAAAATCAGATACTTCCAGAGTGTCTCCTTTATTAGTAAGCCATTTAATTTACATGATCAAATATAACGATCATCCTTCTGCATTCATTTAGCCCTTGCAGTGCCTTTGCAGGCACACACCCTTATTTATTAGCAGAGCAGGGACAAAGGGGAAGAAGATATCACAGCAAAAAGCAAACTTGCAGGGCTCGCTTTAGCAAATCTGGGAGAAGGAGCTGGTGAAAATACATTAGAAAAGCAAGCAATGGGGCATCTTAGGGAGCCAATGACAAGGGGGCAGCAGGAAGAGGAGATAAGAGGAAGCAAGCAGGCATCTGCTGCTGGGACCCCATCCCTGCTCTCCTTCCCACCGGGACACATTATTAGCAGAGTGACACAATGCTGTCACAAGCATGAATATGCATCAGTCATTATGCAGCAGATATTCAGGGGCAGGCTGCTGATTTATGGACCCAGCAGCTGCAGCACCAGCCAGCTGCAACCTAGAGGGATGGGAACACTGAGCATGGCTGGCAGAGAGGTCTGGAGAAGACCTCCAAACCCAGCCCTTCAACAGCAAAGCCAAATGAATTCGTCACAATGAGGTCTGAAGCCAGGCAGAGCCAACCAATGCACTGTGTGTGCGATACTGAGCAACCATCACACAACACTGACAGAAACAGAGAGGTCCAAAGGTTAAGGTGTGAGATTTAAGTTTGGATCAGCAGACTTTAAGTTTGGGTCCTGGATTACCCAAACCTCACTTTGCTGCTCATGGTATATCTCAGCCACAATAGCCTTGTTAATGTAATGCTCATGTCCCCTCTCTCTGCAGCAGTCCGGATTTTAAAAAAATCCAAGTGATGTTGCTGTGGGTGCGTTATTTAAATGCATCACTGTCCCAGCACAGACCTGCTGCAAATAAGACTGAAGACGTACAGATTACAGCTCTCCATACTGAAAAGGGAGGAATCTCCCTCTTTTGGCTCTGGAGCAACAAAGGGACATTGCAGAGAGACTCATCCTGCCTGTCTTGCAAGTGTCACAGCATGGATGCCGAAGACATGCTCCTTCAACTCCAAGTAGCGTCCATACAGGTTCATATATCCCACCCCTGGGAACACACAGCGTAGCAGATCAAGGAAGTAGTAACTCCACCCTGCAACAAGGAACCCACAGCAATTAAGTGACTCGCTGATGGTCACACAGGAAACTTATGGTAAAGCTGGGAATTTCTGCTCCCCCATGTTCAAGCTTTTGCCACAAGACTGTGCTTCTCATCAATGGCCACGGTTGATTACGCAGGGGACAGAAGCACAACGCCTACTCCGTCACCTCTGTCGCAGCCCCCAGCATCTGCTGGCAGACCTGCACAATCAGCAGAAGCAGGGGGGGGTTTCCTTCCAGAGCTTCCTTGGGAGCCCACAGCAACGACGACATGCAGGATTTGGGTGGGCTCGCAGCCAGCATCCACAGGCACACTAGGGCTGAAAAGAAACCACAGAAAAGCAAGACACTAAGCCTGTTCGAGATGTAGCTCCACCTCAGCACCCGAAGCCTGACAAGCAGATTAACAAATAAGCAAAGCCTCCGAGAGCAGCAGAGCCGTTGAGGTCCCTCTAATAACGCCTAAAGGCTAGGTGTACCTAACGGAAATCTTGAAATCCCTTAGCTGATCCCCAGTCCCTCAAGACATCCCTGGTAGAGGCAATGAGCAGACCCAGATCTGGCCTTGGCGCTGCACTTGACGTGGCCATCAAGCTCCGGAGACCTTTCCCTTCCTCTTTGACTCAACTTAGGTGTTCCTCCACACAGATCAACAATTGATGGAGAAAATGGCCACACAGGGCTCTGATCCTCACTTGGACCAGCATAACAGCACTGGCAAGTGCTCCCTCCAGTCACAGTAACCAATTTGCTTGTTTGAAAGAGGTATGGATATGAAGCATGCTGTGCCCTGAGCCGCAGGGATGACAACTCGCTGTGGAAAAGAGAGTCAGATTGTTCATTAAGCGAATGGACAAAAAGATGCAAGGGAACTTGGACACACGCTCCCAACTGCAAACAGAAAGAAGAAAACCTTCAAGTCTTTAGAGAGAGAATGTCTTCAGTAGGAAGAGAAGTCAGCCAGAGACCAGCACCTGCCCACAGTTGGTACCACCCTGGCAGGTAACTGGTAAACAGCAGCTGTGTCTGGTTGCAACACCCACAGACAGGATTTCACCCTGTTCTTCAGCACCTGGTTTCTCCTGAGAGTACATGAAGAAAGAGACCATGCAAAGTACAGCCCAAAACATCTGCGGTGTGAGCTGGAAGAGACAGCTTGGGGAAGGTAAAACGGGGCAACATAAGCCCACAGGTGCCCTTCTAGATGAAGCGTCCTTTTGTCAGGCATGGCAATGCACCTCCATCACAGATCAATCTCTGCACAGCAAACTCCCCAGGCAAACCCCAGGCAGCAGCAAGAAAAGATCATGCACATTGAGGGGGGGGCGGGGGGGGGAAGGAAACAACAAGAGAGGAAACAACAGACTTTTGAACTGTAATGCGCTGTAATTACTGTAATATAATTTCATTAGGGCAGTGTAAGTGACAGCCAGGCATCAAAGGTGCTGTAGGGGATTCTCATGTAGCCCAAAACCTTCTTTTACTCTTTCCAGTGGAAACCATCTGTGGTCCAAGAGCAGGGTCTCATCCTGCCAGATGTTCTGCAAACAAAAAAGGGGGCTCCTACAACAAAGTTTCCACTTCGGAGAATTTCTTTCTTTTTAACTCTGGTTGCCCCTGCTGTCCATACAACACTCAAAATCTTTAACTTCTGAAGCCACCGACTTCCCTAACACCTTGCAGCAATGAGGTCCCCAAGCTATAAACTTCACTTTACCAGGCTTGCATATATGGCTTCCCATTTTCTTTCCCAGTGTCCAGCCACTTCCCACTAGCCTCTCAGACTTTCTGATCCTGCTGCCCAAGCACAACTCTGCAATGCTGGGGAAGCACACATTGCAGAGACATTTAAAAAAGAAACACAGCAGTATTAATTCGATTTATTCTTGGACTTTATAAGGCTCATGCAAACAGTTCTGTATTTGGCCTGGAAAAAATATAACCACAAAAGGCAAGCCTAGAACTTCAAAGCTGACTTCTCCTGACAGCCCTAAGCCACTGTGCATATGTAATATGGACAAGTCGTAAGATTTTTTAGTTCCCCAAAGGAAGGGAGACAGCCCAAGCTGAGGAGTCAGAACCAAATGCATGAGTCCCAAAACTGAGATCTAACCTTGAAGGATCACCTTAAGGAAAGGGTAAAAAGTAGAGTCCCTGCAGTGAAGCCACTAAAGCCAAGACAGTCAACACTGGCTGAGGATCTCACTTGGTCTGTTTTAATTTTCAGCCTTAGCCCACTTGGAGCACTTATCCCTCTCAGCATCTTGAGACAGCAGCAAGGTAGACTGACATTTCCTGGGAAAGGAAGGGTTAAAAATACACCTTCATTCAGCCAGGGAAGCAGAGAGAGTGCCTACAGCGCAGCTATAAAACTCAGCAATCATAAAGCAGAAGGAAGGAAGGAGGTAACCGAGTTGTTTCCTCCTCCCTGGAGATCTGGCTGCCATGAGGAATTGCACATGGTGCTGGTGGGTGCTGGCACAGAGAACCTGCTCCTGGGATCAGCAGCAGAGTGTCCTCCCAGGACCCTCTACTAAGAGGCACAAAGCATCCCCTCCTTTCCCCTACCACTGGCTCCTAAGGACATGCAGAGCCTCCCTAAGGAGTTTCTGCAAGAGGGGTGACAAAAATAAGCCTGCATGTGTTATATAGCAGTCTCTGGGTTCATCCATCCTAGTGGACGTGCAGGCATCTGTTAGACAATGCCTGGGGACCACACCGGAGGAACTGCTGCAGCAAAGATCAAGCTCACTCATGGTTCTTTGGCTTTGGTTTAAAATATAATAAAACAAAACCTGAACCTCCCTTCAGCCCACTGGGAAAAATCCAAGTATCTGCCTTCAATCTCCCAGCATATAATAATAATACTACAACTTTATTATTATAAGTAAAATATGCTATTAGGACCTACATCACCCTGCAATCACCAATTGCTGGGAGCATTTCATGCTATCACCCTTTGCCATCAGCCCTCAGCCACCAGCAAACCAGTCCTGACCTTTTATTCTATTGGTCACCACTGCGTTCAGCATCTGCCCTCACCAACACCAGCAAACACACAAGAACTGAAGCTCTGATACTTAAGCCATGCTTTCTGGAAAGGGGGTTGAAAACTGGACCTCAGGGCATCAAAAACCTCATACAACTCTCTCTCTGGCTATGGCAAATACCACTAAAGGGGCTCCAGGCAGGGCTGGTGGGACAGAGATAGGATGTGCACCAAAAGACCACAGTCTGCTACATGCTTGCTCAGACTAGTGGCTGCATGCCTCTTCACACCTTCAGGCTTCTTTTGATCTGTTATTAAAAATATGAATCGTAACAGCTATGAAGTCGCTGTTCAAGTGGTAGGAGTCTGGTCCTATGCGTGGCCTGGGGTTCCTCTCCAATTCTGCTCACCGACAAAAGCTGTCCATGGTGCCTTTGCTGACCATTCAAGACTGCAAGAGTGCTTGAGTAATGATAAATGTCGCAAAGCTATTTGGACTTTTTTTCCTTCCCCCCATTGTTCGGAAAAAGCAAGCAAGAAAACAGACAGGTGACATGAACC